ACTAAGGGGTTGCACAGATTATGTTGGCTAATCATTCAACTATCCTAGAAGCCTGTTTCATTTGCACAAACTCTGGCTTACAGGGACCTCACAAATGTGCTCATTCCTTCAGAGAAGCTTGTACCCACTCTGATCTTTCCTGGTCCTAGCTGACCTTACTTACTTACTTACTTACTTACTTACTTACTTACTGATTGATTGATTGATTGATTGATTGATTGAATTTTGATATTTTGCTTAACCACTGTCTGTAACCATATTACAAGCCTTGGCTACAGATGGTGTTTGAGGAGGAGAGACCTTAACTACAATCCCAGATTCAAATTACACGCTAAGCCAAACTTTCAGTTTAGCTGTGGTGCTGTGCTTAAAGGACCAGAGAGAAGCAAAGTGGGTGTAAGCTCCTCTCTGGGATCCAACACAATTATGTGGTCTTGGGACACCATGGTTTGGCTTACCGTGACATGTGAACCTGGCCAGTGTACACTTGTCCTTTACAGTACTTCTGCTACTTTTGACCCTTTTGTTATTCCAATGAGTCACACCCCATTGTCATATCAATTCATGATCCTTTTAGCCTTTTTGGAGTATAGCACTGTAATCCATTGTCTAACATAACACTTTCGTCAGCAGTGATAATCCTCTCTCTGCACTTTGCCAAGATCATTTCCTGACTTCTCATGCACACTAATCAATAGCTCTTACACATATGTCCTCGGGACACCTTTTAATTCCAGAGAAAACTACAGGATACTCTATATACCATGATGCTGATATGTTATACTATTGAAATCCCCCTTTCCATATAACACATGGAGTTAAATTTTAATATGAAATCTTCTTGTTTTTTTCCCTGCAGGGAGCTCCAGCGCAAATTCCTCTCCAGAGTTTCCAAGAAAAGATTTTGGTACATTTCTGTTATTAATACTATGAAGGCCAACTTGAGGGCAGGTGCATATTAAATGCCTTATGGTCAGGGAGTTCAAAATGTTGAAAAATCCCTATACTCTTGCACTAGAATGAATTATGGAAATGACTCAGATTTGAGTATATTTCTTAGCTGTCATGTTTCCATCTGGTGCAGAGCTTTGCATTTAGAAAGAAATGGAATCGTTCTAATAGTTCTGGCTTTAGTAGATAAGAAGCTGAAGTGCATGTGTCTAATATTTGGGGATAATATGCAAGTGCCTGATCTACAAAAGTAACGGGCAGCACAAGCATACCCCTTTCCCACTCCATCTCTGTTGTGCCAGAGTCCCAGGAAGTTGAAAGGAAGCCCAAGAGCCAGTTACCACTGTACTGCCAGTGCTTCCCATTCCTGGCTGAACTTCTGCAATACAGATTCAGATCAGATCAGGCCCTAGGAAGCTGGGTGGCATCGGAGGGGATAAAGAGTGATATAGGATCTCATTCCCCTGTCACTGGAAGCATAAATCATTCTTCCAATGTTTTCTAAGGATGTGTACACATACTATACCTTTAAAGCAGGTTATTCAAAGAACCTTCTTTCCCCCCTTCTCATCTTGATCACTGTTTTTCAAAATAAAATTTCAAACAATTCCCTTTAACATTTTCTTTGGTTTTCACAGGTTCCTCTGCTACCAGGGGGCGAAGCCAAACTCGTGGTAAGATATAATATACCGTACACTTTGCAGAGATCCAAAGAGTTAATTTGGGCATGCCCAAGAGTGTGTGGGCATGCTAAGTGGTTTTTTGTTTGTTTATTTTGAAAGCTTTTTTCTTTAAGGCCAAGTCACACAAGTTTTTTAAAAAGTGGCTTGCTATGATGAGGCATGGCAGGTTGCTACTGTGGAAAGCAACACTTTGAAATGTCAGCACATATTATGTAAAAGGAAAATTGGACTGGTGGGAGGTCTAGGAATGAAAGCAGAGTGCAGTTTTATAAAAGTTGCTGTACCATTGCATTATAATAATAAACTCATAAAAAATGATTAGACAAGCCATAGTGTAGGAGAAATTAGTATTTTATTCCTGTCAAACTTTGCTGCATGTGGTCTAAATACCGACAGAACATACCACACACCAAGCTAACAACCTGCAGCAATGAACCTTCTTCATGCCAAAGGTGTGTACAGGGTATCCAGTTACCATTACCTCTCCCTTCACAATAAGCCTCTTCTTTCATTTTGTCTTGTACAGAGAGTGAAATTCGAGTGAGGCTGCAGAGTGCTTCTCCATCAACCAGGTGTAAGTGCTTGAGCTATTTTTTGTGGACTTGAACAAAGGGTAGCTGAATCTCCTTGATTAATAATCCAGTAGTTGTAGCGATGAACTCTTCCTTTGACCATTTGGTAGCCCTTTTTTCCATGATGCCATCTGATATTTTCCTAATATCTATTAGCCAGAAACTGTATAGGGGATGACAAAAATACACGAGGAGCAAGGATTACTATAATCCAATGAAGAAATTACTTGTGGCCTCAAGGGAAGAGGAGTCCTTGATGTTGAGGTGGAGCAGCCAGAACAGAGACAAGGGCTGCATACACACTATATCTTTGAAGCACGTTTGAAACATGTTCTCCCGCCCCCCACTGAATTCTCGGCACTGTGGTTTGTTAAGGGTTGCTGGGAAATGTAGCTCTACGAGGGGTAAACTACAGTGTCCGGAAGTCTTTGAGGGAAAGAATATGCTTCAAAGGTATAGTGTGTGTGTAGCTTTGGCCTGCACCATTCAGCTCTATCCATCTTCAGATGCATCTGTCATTTTTAAGACCCAAACATATAAAGCATACAATTTTCTACCACCATCATGCTTTTAATTTTCTACCTACATTGTCAAGTTTTGAGCTTAAGTCTCCAATATCTCTCTTCTCTTTTAGGGACAGAATTGGACGATGTCAAACGACTACTTCGGGGAAGTCGGTCAGCTAGTGCTAGCCCAACTCGGTCCCCATCAAGCACACTCCCGATACCTAAAAAAGCTGTTGTGGAAACCAAAATGGTGACAGAGAGCAGCCAATCAGGTATCTCATTGCTGGACCCCAGGAATTCCAGTATATTTCTAATCTATCAAATCACAGAATAAGGTGGAGAGGGTGGCAGAGGCTGCAAATGGTTGTCTTCTTTACAGGCCAACAGTGCAAGGATCACATTATTGTTCAAAGGTGCATGCTTTTTCCTAGTATCCAAAAAGTAGAGCGAAGTATAACTGCTTCAGTCTCTCTTGGCAGTGATAGAGTGGCACCATTGCAAGACTCTTTTTTTAGTTTCATCAAAAGTAGTTTCACACTAGGTATGGGGAACCTATGGCCCTCTAGGTGTTGCTGGACTCCAGTTCCCATCAGCCCCAACTACCATGGCCAATGATCACAGGTGATAGGAGCTGTAGTTCATAGGTTTCCTACCCCTGTTCTAGACTAAAGACCAGGGCAGAGGTGTTAGTTAAAAGCTAGAAGGTCAGGACTCAGGAGTGACTCCTGACAAATAGGAAGCAACTGGAGGAAGCAAATATGCTCAATGTGAGGAGGGCAAGGAAGGAATTTGAATCGAATAAGGGATCTCTGCTGATGTCCAATTCCATGGCCACTGAAAACTGTGCTAGGGATCACCATCGGTTTATGATGTTTTAGAACAGGGATGAGAAACCTGTATCCCTCCAGATGTTGCTGGACTACAGCTTCCATTATCCTTGACAGCCATGCTGGCTGGGGCTCGAGTTGCAGTCCAACAACATCTGGAGAGCCACAGGTTAGCCATGCCTGCTTTAAAACCAATTTGAAGGACATATTCATGCTTTTCTCTATAACTCTGAAGACTATATAAACTTGTTTTTTAAAAAAAGGAAACACCAAAAACAGATTAGACCAAGTTTCATATTTTATGGTGCTGTTTAGGTGAGAGGAACAGAAAAAGAAATCACATTGCCTAAGGATCATGCATTGTATATAAAGATATATGGTTTTTAATGTTGCTTGTTGATTTTTCTTCCAGTGTCAGGGACATACGACACGACCATCTTGAATGCGGCACTCCCACCATACATGTGGTCCTCCACCCTGCCTGCAGGGTCGTCTCTCGGTGGCTACCACAACAACATGACTCAAAGCTCCTCTTTGATGAACACGGCAGCACATTCTACTGGATCAGGTACATGTTCACAGCATCGGCCATAGCAATTCTGCAGACAAGCTCTGAGATAACCTTTTCTGAAAATCATGAGGTGGCCAGTTGTGGTTACTCAATACCAGAAGTCTTAAAGACCACGAAGGAAGCATGCAGTGTGGATATTCTGCACCATCATTGCTTTCCTACATTTTCATTGCCATTCCTCAGTTGGTTTCAGAACTTGCCTTCACCGTACGGGTATAAGTGTTAACCATATTGGGAGTTGGGAAGGAATTGCCCCTTCTGGCCAAATTGCCTGAGTGACTGTTGGAATTTGAGGACAATATATCGGATCAGGGTGGGATGTGTGCCCTCTAATGAACTCATTCACTTCAGACATATATATTATTCAGTGGAATGTTAAATTTAGTAAAGCAAATTTAGATGGCTCTAAAGTACAACCGAGTGCCAGTAAAAGAAGAGTTGTGAAGCAGCCAGCTAAACAACAGTTTGCAAGATTAGGGTAGACGTCTGCAAAGGGCGAAGCGCAGTGGTTTTAGGCTAGGGATGGGAAACTTATGGCCCTCCAGCTCCCATAAGCCCCAGCCAATATGGTCAATGGTCACTGATGGCAGGAGCTGTCCAGATACAACATCTGGAGGGTCACAGTTTACCCCTCTGCCATGTTTTAGAGACTTCTTTCAGTGTGTGGACTTCAAATGGAAAAGTTTAAAATTTACTGATCATTCTGCTACAGGACAAGTGATTTGTATCATGTCCCAGATGTGTTGGAATCCTTCTGACCTTGCCTACATAGTCAACAGTCTCTTCCTTTTTTCCCTACCTTCCCCCACAGTGTTTGGTGTCCCAAACAACTTGGCTCCCAGTTCCCCAGCTCTGCATGCTGGTCTCAGCAGTTCTTCCACAGGTGCGTTTTCTCCCTCCTTGATCCCACCTGTCAAGTTGCGTGGCCATCGGGAGAGGGATATGCAAAGGGTTTGGACTCCAGTTCTTCGTGCCAGTGGCATTAGCACACCTGGACTAGTTTGTGGGATTCGTTTAAAGCTCCCGCTCTGTAAACGGAAATGCCTATTTGAGGGATGGCTTAGAACTCCTGCAGCAGAGGTTAAAAAAAAAGTATTTATTGAAGATAATAAAAAATACATAAAATAAATACAAGTGAAATGAGCAACACAAATGTTGCAGTGTGTCCCTGAGCCTGGGTGCCAGTCAGAGGGATGTCCTTACCTGTAACTCAAGCCAGGAGGTGAGTGGGCAAAGCCCTCAGGTGTGGCACCCAGGCTTGCATAGCAATTCATTCTCTCAGAACCTAGAAATCAGCAAGGAAGATTTCCACGCCCTTCCTCTAAACTTTGAATTGTAAAGAGATCTTTCAAGCTATTTCCCAAAGTTAAAAGTTTATTCCTGCATAATATGTTACAGAGATTTGTGCACTTCTGAGAGGACAATTAGAAATGAATACGAAACATGACAGACTAGCTCAGTTTATTAGGTGCAGTGTAGGGGAAGTCTTCAATTTTTGGGCATGGTTAATTTCAGACCATTCTTACCTGTGGTGAGTCACTATGGCTGTTTACTAAAAAAAAAAAAAAAAAAAAAAAGCAAACTTGCACCTCACCCCAGGATATTTTTATTTGCAGTATTTGGTGTTCAGAACAACCTGGCTCCAAGCACACTTGGTGTTGCCAATGCTGCAACCACAACTGCAGGTAAGGTAACAGAACATTATGAAAATACCTAGTTTATGAGCCATTTGGGTGACATACATGTACTTGAGAAATTCAGCTCCTCATGGAATATTTTTAAAACCTTATTTCTGTACATGCTAGCCATGGATTAGCCTCAGACAGGCCTTTGTAGACAGTTTGATGTTGTGCATATTCACTAACTTCAGTTGTGACTGGATGCTCCGAGTGAGGCACTGGGGTGTAAACCTGGCCCCAGCATTTGGCAACTTGAAACAAACACCTCAGGCGGTAGATTATTATAGGCAGCAGTGACAGCCCCTTGATTGTTCTTCCTGATACCCGCCTCCACTCTGCCGCGCAACGGTAAATTAATCAATGCAGAGTCTTCTTCATAAACAGAATAAAACTTTACTGAAGAAAATAAACTTGTTCAGGAACAGCATAGTTAAAGAGCATACACAGAGTGCTCATAGCAGCTATCATAGTCTTCAGAGAGGCACAGATCTTAGTTATGGATTAACTGGAGCCCTGGAGCCGCTCTGTCTGCAACAACACACTCACATACTGAGCTGAGACTGACTCAGAAGACAGACTGAGGCCCAGAGAGATGGCTGGTTACATTTTTAGGGAACCTAAGATGAGTCACAGTGACATGGCAGTTTACTGCTAACAGTTACAGTTAGCAGGCTTGAAATGATTGTGTAGGCCTTGTAGGCCATGCCTAGCCCTTGCCTGCTTTTGCACTCAAGAACCTTTGTCTCATGACACTCCATTTTGTTGGAGGACAGAGCTGTGTATGCCACACAGCCTGATGCTTCAGATGCACTGAAAGAAGTTGCCCCATTTCTACTGTTGAAGCAAGATTCAGCTGCCCTTCTGTACATGGAGTAGAAGGGGTGCTTTCTGGTCCTTCATCTCACACAGCAAAATGCTGTAGGCTGGCCCTGGCCATAGACAGTGATGGAACACATGCTGTGGATACAGAAGGCTGCAGCATTTCTAGGTAGGAATTTCCTGCAACTACTAGTCTGTGCAGAAGACAATACCAGGCTAGAGGGACTAAGAGTCTGACAGAGTACAAAGCAACTCCTTAATGCTCCAGATATTGATGAAACAGTCACTTATACCCATATGCTAACCACAGTGCAACATATACACATACTTGGGAGTACATATGTAAAGGGTTCCACTGCCAAGCACTATTTTTTCATTAGGAGTTTGTGAGAGTAGGGCATGCTAAAACCAGGGACCAGGCAGGTTACTTGGGACCCATGCTTAAACCCATGTTGAGTACCATGAGTCTGAACAGCCAAACAGGATTAGTAGAGATGGGACAGCAGACACTGTACCTAAGTACTGCCAAGTTATCACAATAATACTCACCTGCCTTACAGGGCTGTTATAAGGGTTGTTTGGATAGTTGCACTGAAACGCTTTGAACTTTAATAAAATGAAATAAAATATTATTTATTAGTAACTTGCAACTCTCTGCAGAGAAATACCTTTTCCTCTGCTTATTACTCAATAAATAAATAAATGGTGCTGGTGGGGAAGCAGTGTTAGGGACTTCAAGATATGTACCAGAAATGTAAAAACAGGCAGCAAGGGTTCTTAAAGAAAAAGTTTTTATTGAAATGGATTTTTGTCAGACAAAAATGCAACTCAAAATGCAAGTGGGTACATTCAGAGAAAACGAGAGAATGCCCCCGAGAGTTGGGGGCAGATAGTTTTTATAACCTCAAGCAAAGCACAGTTCAGCCCCTCAGCACCCCCCTTTAGCCAATAATTAACACTTCTTATGCATATTCATTAAAAGCTCTGCCAATCAGATTGGCGGTAGCCTTGGTCTGTTTCAAGCTGCTGCGTCCACTAGATGTCTCTCTAGGCTTACTATCTGTCTGACCTGCTTTATGCTTCCCAGTAAAACCTCAACCACCTGTTCTCTTAGAAGTGCGTCCTGTGGGTCTAACAGCTTTCTGCCTGAGTCTACTTTTAAGCTTCTGCGGTGAGCTAGCTTTCCTGTTTGTGCCAGCCGTCTGCTACAGGTGTCAACTGTCTGACCACACTGGATTTTGTATAGCTGCAGTCGTGCTTTTGCAAAAGAAATATCTTTTGGCTTTTAGCTTGCTCTCTAAGATGCTCTAAAATGGCTTTTGGCTTAAGAAATGGCGTCAGTCTGATTCCATCACTCCTTCATTCCCCCCTTTCCATCATGAAAATGCTGACCGGTTCCGGTTCATCATTTTCAGTTGATGGATCTATAAGTTTAATGTCATAAAGAGCCAGGACATGGGTACGTGTAGCTGCATCAACTGAGCGGCTTACCATTCGGCGTACAAGCTGAATAAGGCATGGCAAAAGGCAAGATAGTAGCAGTAAGGTAAGAAAGAGAAACAAAATCACAAGCAAAATCTCTTTTAACCATCCCCAACCTGGGAGCCAGGAAGTAAACCAATTCCACATACTGGGGAGTTCTCCCCCAGCTAGACTGATTTTGTGGTACAAATCCGCCTGCTTTTTAATGCGGTCAACATTACTCTCAACACGGTCACTGTGGTTGTATATGGTTGCTAACTTCCTAATTTGTTCAATATTGGTCACCACTCGTTGGTCTTGATTGATATACACACAGCATGAGGTGTTCAAAAGAGTACAAACCCCTCCCTGGCTGGCCAGTAGGTAGTCCAGAGCCATCCTGTTCTGTAGAGTGATAGTGGCCGTTTGTCTGATCTCTATCTGAAGGGCCAGGAGGGCCTCAGCCGTGAGGTTGGCTATTTGGGCCATTTGCGCTACCTCCTGCTGCAGGGTGGTTAAGGCATCCGCTGTGGAGGCGGCAAAGATGTCCAGTGATGCTGAGACATTTACTAGAGCCCGTTCCAGATCAAAAACACCATATCTTGGGAAGACCACTCTAAGAGCAGACTGGAAGGCGGTACCTCTGACCACCAGGGGGTTTTCTGCAAAGGGACTTCCTGATCTGCGATAGCGGGGGCGTACCTCTCCCGGGAAGGTGTCATGGATTGTGAGCCCTGGGGTCAAAGTTCCTAAGCTGCAGGTCCCATACCAATTACGAGGCAATGTTTTGTAAGCGGTGTGATCGCATAGCCAAAACCATCCCTTCTTCCACCCCGGTGTTGGGAGTGGAAGGGCATCTAGGCTATTGTAAACGCGAGTCATATTATGTATGTACGTACAGCCTGAGTAATTGCCCACAAAAATCTCGTCTGGAATATCCGGCTTCCACCAATAGTCCCTCCAAAGGGGAGTATGGTACCGGGCCTTCCAAAAGGCACTTTGCACGGGCGCTACACTCCTGTGGATGCACGGGCCCCCCTCTATGACCCTGTCAAGTTTCCAAATATGGTGCTGGGGAACCACGTAGGTGTTGTTCAGCCACGGAGGCCCTACTATCAGCAGACCTTGAAAAGAAGTCGCATTCATAGGGAAAGGTACTCCTGTTATGGGGATCCCCTGCCCCAGGTGCATGGGGACATGCACACATACCCAACATTCTGACCTATTCAGGCTTTTGGCTACGTTCGATGTCATGTTCAGGAAGGTGTTGCCCTTCCACCCTGTGGCCGTTTGAGAGATGAATGCAATCAGGAGGCAGGATATACTGCGAGTCCTCATCCTGACTCGAGGGATCTTCAGTGCCGCAGAACAGGGAAGCGTACCACCAGCACAGAAATACTACAAAAAGGACCACCCCGCAGCCGAAAGGGATGGGGGCCCACCAAGGCCAGGGCATGGGGCCGCTAACTTCTGGCCCTACTGTGGCGTGCACAGCGCCTACACACGAGACGTTCCCACTCAACACAGGGGAAAGCGTCTGCCTGGGACAGATATACTGCTAGGCCTCGGGTGCTGTAGGGATGGCAATAGACTCTGTAAAATTCGAAGGCTGGTCCTATTCCCCGGATCAGGAGGAAGGGTCGATAAGCCCACTCCTGAACCTCTGTAGCCCTGTAGAGCAGCCACAAGGGAATGTGGGGGTGTTCACGGAGGATGAATCTATGGTGGCCACACCGTAACGTCCCTTCTTGCAGGCGGAAGCCTCTGCGGTCAACTGGTCGGGCAAACCACTTGTAACACTGTTGCTCCGACCAGTCCTCTTGATATGGGTCTAAAGGGGAGGGTCGCCTTTGCATATGAGAAGGGCTTCTTGGCCCCTAATTGCCCAAATACCACCGGCGGAGTCCTACCTGGGCCTGTAGGTATGCAATGTCCAGGATCTCCGCTATCTCCTGGCCGTCAGCGTTCCAGGGTCTATACCAGTGTCTGGATTCTTCCGGAAAAATGTGCTCTGTCTGTCTCCCTGCTGGGCCTGCTGGGTGGCGGTCACCTCCGTGACCTCTGATCAGGGCAAATGGAGGCTGGAATCCTGGGGTGGCCACTCTTATGCAGCCACAGGAATACCCTGCCACATCCAAGGGTACTAGGTGTGGAGTTACCAGGCCCAATAGTTCAGGTGTTATTCTGGGCTTGTGGGAGGTCCGAGCCACCACAATAGTCACAGGTGGGACTGCCGGATTTATTGGTACTTGTCCAGCAATTTCAATGTGCCTGTGGTTCGGACACCCTCCCATGCACCCCTGGGTCAAGATTAGGTTGTTATTCTGGGCTTGTGGGAGGTCCGAGCCACCACAATAGTCACAGGTGGGACTGCCGGATTTATTGGTACTTGTCCAGCAATTTCAATGTGCCTGTGGTTCGGACACCCTCCCATGCACCCCTGGGTCAAGATTAGGGCCTGGTATACCCGCCGGTATGCCGCTCTACCTCCTGATGTAGCAGTTGATTCCAAAGGGGGTTGGTATGTTGTTCTGCCTCGCGATGCAGCACACCGACCAAGTGGAGGGCCTCGTCTATCAAGTGGGGTTGGTATAAGGCTCTACCTCCCGACAGCCAGCTGGATATCCTCCCCCCACAACAAGAACGGTCTGAAACTCGATAGATTTCGACCGTTTCTGCAAGTTCCCGGATGAGAAGTACCCACGTGCGTTGTTCGGTGTCGTGGACCAGGACCCACAGGGGAAGAAAGGGGTGTTTCAGTGCTACTACCTCCGTTGACCCACGCACCCAGCTGCCGATTAGTACGCCTTCTCTTACCACCGGCAGGACGAACCACTCGTAGCAGAGGTCAGCTGGCCAGTAGGGGCGGTAAGGCTCGGTAAGGTACAGGTCCATAAAACATACAGTAAAGAAATTGGGAGAGAAAAGAAGGGAGAGTCTTTGTGAATGTCCTTATGATGAGAAGTCGCCGGATCCTGTTGCCCGTGGCCCAACGCGCTTCCGGTCGCGTCAGACACAAGGTGGTGATCAGTCGCAGGGTCTCGATGCCCGTGGCCTAACGCATTTCCGGTAGCGTCAGACACAGGGTTTTTTTGAGAGAGTCAGCTTCAGAGGGTCAGCAGGATGTCCTTTGCACGTCCAGACACCCTCTGATTTCTTCAGACGCGTGTGATGCACCCAGGGGATCACCTCGGCTACTTTCACCGCAGTTGGGGTAGACAGGAGGACGGTGTACGGACCCCGCCACTTGGGGATGAGGGGGTCGTGCCTCCACTCCTTCACGTAGACACTGTCACCCGGTTGGAACTGGTGGACCGGCTCAGCGAGGCTGCATGGCGTGCGCTCGAGGGAATACCTGGAAAGGGAAGCAAACACACGGGACAGGGATTGCACTTGTTCCTGGGTGATGTGATCTCCCACCCGCCCCAAACTGGCGGGGATGTCTCTGACGAAGGGGGGCGGCCTGCCATACAAAAGTTCAAAGGGTGACAGACGCAGTCTTTTGGTTGGGGCACTGCGGATTCGAAATAAGGCAATGGGCAGGACATCTATCCAGTGGAGTCCTGTCTCTTGGGTCAGCTTGGCCAAGTGGGTCTTCAGGGTACGGTTCATCCGCTCGGTCTTTCCGGAACTCTGGGGTCGGTAGGCTGCGTGTAGCTTCCAGTTGATCTGCAGCGCCTTGCACACTTCTTTCACCACTTTATCAATGAAGGCGGGGCCGTTGTCACTACCAATACTTCTGGGGAGGCCAAATCGGGGTATGATCTCATTCAACAATCTCTTGGTCACCTCCCGGGCCTTCTCGGTTCTGGTAGGATATGCCTCTATCCAGCCTGTCAGCGTACAGACAAACACAAGTAAGTATTTGAGGCCCCTAGCTGGAGGCAGTTCAGTGTAGTCCACTATAAGGCTTTCCATGGGGATGTAGCCCACGTGTTGTATGCCCGGTGGAGGAAGATGACCTTGCCTTGGGTTGTTCTTGGCACATAAGACACACTTTTGAGAGATAGCAGCAGTTAGTTGGGATAGGTTGGGGATGTAGAATATTCTCCCAAGATGTGCTTTAGCAGCTGGGCTGCCTAGATGAGTGGACTCGTGGTAGTTCTTGACAATCGCACTGGCCAGATGCTGGGGCACGAGGACAC